GGACAACAAACTGAAAGGCGAGAGCAACTGTTTCTCGGTGGTCGCAACGGTTGGCACTGCCCCCATGGACCTCCCTGAAGCCGCTTTCGCCCTAATCCTATGCTAAGGCTTCAGGACCATGCCCAATCCAATCCAATCCAACGAAGCCCGCCCGACCAGGCGCGAAGCTCCAAGCGCGCGATTGAGGCTGGAGCTTCAAGCTTGCCCCCTGAATGCTAGGCGCCCCAGCGCGCGCTGCCCGGCCGGAACCTTCTCGTCGAGCCGTTGCAGTCGCCGGGCTCCGGCTCTTTCCGGGGGTGCACGCGGCAGGCCATCGCGCTGCTGCAAGGCTGAGCTCATTGCTTTGTCGATCGGTCTCAACCTTATCGCGTCGTTAGCACAGCGCGGCGAACTGTTCATGGAGGCGGGCATGGCCACGCCGCTTTTTCTTTCAATGGCCCTTGGCATTCTGGGCCGCAGGGACTTCGGAAGCAGCGCGAGCTTCGGCGTTGACAGCTAGCCGGGCTAGATGTGGTTGACTGGGCAACTGTGTCATCGCCGAACTTCTGAAGCGGGCCGCGCATGCTTATCCCCGCGCTCAGCCTTGGCTGTCGCGTATTCTCTGAATGTTACAGCGAAGCGCCTAGAGATCATCTCCCCCTTGCCCTTGAAGCGCCACCTGTCGTTGCGGATTTGCCCGCGCCAGGTCAATCGGCAGCGCGAGCGCGTCGACTCGACGCTCATTTCGTGGATGCGAGTCGCCTCGGCGCTCGCGAGCGGGGTGCGTGATTGCTCGGCGCCCATTGGCGCGGCATGTGCCAGCTCGACGCCCACTGGCGTGGGCCGCGTCGTCTCGGCGCTCATCGGCGTGGACCGCGTTGACTCGTCGCTCGTCGGCATGTCGCGCGCCGACTCGACGCTCGCCGGCATGGCATGCGCCGTCTCGACGCTCATTGCCGTGGTTCGCGTCGACTCGGCGCTCATCGGCATGGGCCGCGTCGAATCGGCGCTCGTCGGACTGGAGTCCCGAATGCCGTCGCGAAGGATGCCTCGCTTGGCTGCCACGGTAGCTTCGTTGCGCGTTCCAGCACGTTCTGGCCGGCATGGCAACCATATTTTGCCCTGGTGCACGACAGCGGGACAGGGGCGCGGCATCGAAAGGGCAAGGCATGGAGGCCCTCTGCTTCGTTGGCTCTTCCAGGCTCACCCTGGACACGGCGGGCCTTCCCGCGGCGCGGGATTGCCCCGCTGCGTCGCGCGCAAAACCTGCTTACCCAAGCGCGTCGCCCGTAGCGCACGGTTGCCGAAGCGCGTCGACCGTGGCGCCTGGTTGCCCGGGCGCCTTGGCCCCGCTACGCGCGGCACTAATGGGCGTCGATGCATCGGCGTTGTATGATATAAGAATGACACTCTCATCACCCGTCTTTTAAGCCTTCCCAACCGTGGCGACGACAGCTGACCGCTCGCGTTCAAACCGTGGCCTACAGCGGCCCCTTCGGCTTCAAATCAGGCACCGTAAATCATGGCCTCGAAGTTAGTCGCTAGCGATCACGGAACGTCCATGTTGCCAACTTGTACATGCGCAGGTGCAGTACCCTAGCGACCACCACTTCGCTTGACAGTCCCAGCTGATGTGTCTGCGCGAAACTCCCCCGTTTATCGCTGACTGGTGTGCGGTGGCTGCCCGCTTCGGCGGATAACTTATGCTTGGGGGTCGTCCACCCCTGGGCCGAACTCCCCTTATCTTTCAAAACTGTCGCTGGACTTGGGTCCTGGCTCGCGTATGACACCCGGCAAGTCTCCGTCAAATTTTCTACTTTGCGTCCATCCGTGACCCACGAAAGCGACCCGACAAAAGAACAAACATCAAACTAAAACCGTTTGCATATGCCCCTCACCATTACGAAAATGGTGCGCGCGGGCGCGGCCTTCTTCCCGACCGCCTCGAAACCAAACAACAAAAACGGGATGCTGCGGCCGGAGAAAGCGGCAGCAACAGCCGCAGCAAAAGGGGGCAAGGAAGGGCGGAACGGGCGGGGACCCACACGGACCCACGACCCCGTAAACCCTGACGGAACGACCGCTCCCCAAAAGCACGCGCCAAACACGCGGTGTAAAATACATCGCTCTCCCACCCCGAAAACGGAAAGCGCTCGCGTGCGGTCCCGGTCCCGACGAGCCGGCGACGAGAAAACGACGCGGGCGGCGCACGGGCGGCATTGTGAAAGTGCCCGATGGGCGCGGCGAAGACGAAGCGTGCGACGCGCTGGCGCAACGATCCCACTTTCATTCACAAGCTGCGCGGCGTTTGGGCGAGGTCTGGTCATCGTTCGGACGTCCATTCCCTGTTTTTTGTCGGTTTCGAGCGTGGCTTTCTCGGCAAATGATCGAGGATGCTCCTCGATGGTCCTCGCCGAAGGAAAAAATGCACACGTCCGAGCGATGCCAAGAGGTCGGCATTTCGCTCGCTTTCGCGCGGCCCCGCTCTCGCTGTAGTGTGGTTCGGCGAACGAAGCATGCCCCGTGCCCGCGCTGGCATTCCATGTCCAAGCTGCATGCGAACGGCAATTGAGCGGGGCAACGTGTCGCCCCCTGCCGCGGGCCCCGCAAAACTGGCGCGTGGCACACCTGCACCGCGTCGAGGCGGGAACGCCTCTTGTGCGCGAAATCGGCGCGGCCCCACAGCGACAACCACATTTTCGTCCGCTCGCGCGTCCGGCGGTGAACCGTCAACCTGGTCACCGCCGGGAACCTCGTAGAGCTCCTTCCACGCGTCAGGAGGAGGAGGAGGAGGAGGAGGAGGAGAAGGAGGAGGAGGAGGAGGAGGAGGAGGAGGAGGAGGAGGAGACGAACATGCGTGCGAAAAACGCGCGCCGCGCCCCCAGCGGGAGATCAGCTCTCCAGAGAAGTGGGCGCGGCGCCGAGGTGAGAGCGCCATTTTTCGGCCGCTCGCGCGGGACGTGCGCCCCGTCGCGACCCTGCTGCAACAGGGACGACAAGATGCCCCCTGTTGAGACGAAACGCATTGATTTGATTTGTGTTATTGTAGGAAGGCACCAACTATACACCAACACCGATCCTGGCCAGGATCACCCTGGGCCCAGGATCGGTGTATACGCCCTCCTGCCGTGCGCAAGAAGGCATATATACCGATCCTGGGCCCAGGGTGATCCTAGGCCAGGATCGGTGTTGGTGTATAGTTGGTGCCCTCCGATATTGATAAATGGGATGGGGCCAAGCGGATTGGGCCGATATCGGCCAATTAGGTTGCAGGGTGTGAGTGCGAATAGATCGTGATAAGATATGTTCTGGCGGGGGGGGGGGGCGAAGGGCACGGCAGGTGCGCGTCGTGACGCCATCGCTGTTGCTTGCTGGCACCGCGCAGATCGTTCAAACTCGAACGACTCGGGCTTCCTGATACTGGGGGCGTCCAAGAGGGGGGGTCCAAGGGGGGGATTCGCAAATCATGGACCGAGGCACGTGCGCGGACCAAGGGGGGGGGCAAGGAGACGGACTAAAAGAATAATTGGAGCCATAACATCGGGGGAGATATCATGGCCCTGACCATGATAGGCACTTCCCTTAGTCATTACCGATATCTTGGCCACTCCCGATGATAGCGCGAGGCGTTCGATGACTGCCCGTGAAGGGCCACAAGCGGCGTTCCACCTTGCCCCCCCTGCTGCGCGTGCTCGTGCCCCTCGAGGGTGGGGCCGCCGCGGTGGACGGGAACACTGACCCGACAGCAGCAGCCCGTCCAGGTGGAGAAGCAGGAGAAGGGCAAGCAGGCCGCGGGGAAGACTCCCGATAAGCGGGGGAGGAGGCGGGAAAGAAAGACAAGGAGGATGAGGAGAAGCCACGGGGGACGAGGATGGGTTGGAGGCCGAAGCTGGGGAAAGAAGAGGAGGAACACACACAACAAAAAAACACCAACATCAATAAGACATAACATGAACGAAGAGACGGGTCCTGGATCTCAGGACAGTTGCCCGGGACAACGTAGGTTTGACGGTCCTGGTGCCCAGGGGTTCTTGCCATCGCTCGGACGTCCATTCACTGTTCTTGTTTCGATCTCGTGCGCGTTTTTTTGTTGCTCGATGGTCAAAGATGCTCCCCGATAATCCTCGCCAAGAAAACATGCACACGTCCGAGCGATGCCAAGGGCGGAGGAGGCCCAGGGAGGCCCAGAACACGGACAAAAGAAACCTCCAGAGCCGCTGCCTGGGGGGCAGGAGCAGCAGCAGCAGCAGCAAAGAGAGAGCACAGGGGTGCACCGGCGGGGCCGGCGGGACCAGGATGAGACGAAGCCAGGACGTGGATGACATCGGGTGAGGGTACACGTCGGTCGGAAGAAGTAGGTAGAAACATGAAGTAGGAAGGCGGATATAGTAGATTGGGTCCAGGTCCTCCCAGAGAATCAACAAAACAGAGCGAAAGCATGTCGATTCTTGAAGTAGGAAGGCGCTTGAAGTAGATTGGGATCTGCGAGTACAGAAATGCCTACTTTCAACGACCAGCGTGTACGGTGAAGGAATTGGATAAGGAGCAATCCAGGGTCGACCAGGATGAGACGAAGCCAGGACGCGGATGACATCGGGTTAAGGATGCGGTGAAGGCATTGGCTAAGGGACCCTTAGATCAGGAATCCAGGGTCTGGAGGCCTGTGGAACTCGAATCGAAGCTTGGCCATGGATATCACCGCCGCTCTCATCAGATAAGGAACGCTGCAGGGTCTGAAGCCTCCGGGGCACGTTCCTTAACGAACGCCCCCACCGCAAACCGAGAAAGGAGGGGCAAGGAAGAGGTGCTGAGCGCATCAGATAAGACGAAGCATCGACGAACGAGGACACATTCGGATGCGGATAAGCAGAGAGCCTCGGAGACCTGGCGGTTCTGGAGAATGCCTCGGGCGCCGCGGCCTTCTCGGAGCGAGCGTCCCGGAACGCTCCGAGAGCGTTCTGGAACGCACTGGAACGGATTGATCCTCGTCCTCGACCCACCCGAAGGAGAGCCCCTCGCTCCTGTCTCGCAGGACGAACCAGCCGCCGGTCGGCGGACCTGGGGGCGGCAGCGCAGGCAGCGAGCAGCACGGGCTGAGCAGCGCGCTGCTGCTCGACAGCTACAGCAGTTCCTATAGGGAGCCCACCGATGACGGACGCGCCTAACCACGCACGCGGCCCCAAGTCCGCGAGACCAGCCACGTGATACGAACGTTCGCGCAGTGTGCATTTTCGGAACCAACGTGGGTTCATGTACGTGTACGTCCCTCTTTCGCTCAGGAGCTCCGTGTCGTGACGACCTCGGCGTCGGTCCCTGACACATCGTGAAGCGCTCAAGCTTGTACGGCGGGCGGCTTGACGATCGCCGAAGCGTTCCAATATTGGCCAAATCTGGGCCACTGGCGGCGGCCAACCACAGACGCCCGCGCTGGGGTCGTTGCCGCGATGACGCGACTCGACTCGCGCGGGGTCGACTCGCGCGACGCATACGGTACGCAGACTTCCTCACGTGGTGAAAAATGACGGTCTCCTCGCGTCGGGGTCTTTATTCGGGAAGTGTCGATGGTTAGTGTATGCTGTCTCGCCTCGGGACGCTCTGGCAGGTGTGCTTCGCCGAGAGCGTTCCGAAGGTTCCTAGATTGGCCCGAACGGACGCCACAGACCGGAGCTGTGACCCAGAAGCCTAAACATCCTGGGTGTGCAAAATGCATCACGACGCAAGGTTTGAGTGTGGCTTCTGCATCTGAGGGCCCTTGCCGAGACCTGGGGCTTCCACGATACACGACTCGGGATGAAGAACCGGTCCCAGGGAGCGCGAACCCATCCGACTGGGGGCCCACGTTGGTAGACAAAGACGTCGTCGGAGGCCTGGCCGTCCCAACGCCCACGGGACAACCCTGGGCCCCGCTGGCCGACTTCCCCCCACCTGCGCGGGGATGGGTTGCCATATCCCTGGGGCTTCGCAGCAGCCGTCCCTGTCTGCAGGGTGTACGCTGGGAGAGCTACCCTACCCTGTTCCCGTCGGCGTTGGGATGGGCCTGGCGACGATGAGTCGTGGACCATGGTCTTGTTCTAGTGCGGCTCACGCAGAAGGAACACATCCTTCGTGTACCAAAGTCAGGCCATCATTTTTTTGCTGGGAGCCGAAGGAACAGCCCAAGAAGCGCCAAGCCCCACGACAGCTCAACCATGTCCATTACTTCGACGCTCCGACTGCAATCGTATTGACAGCTCCCCTCGTGTATGTTCCCGCTCTCAGCCCTCTCCTGATTGGTGCTACATGGCTCGCTGTCCTCCTCAGAGTTTCTCTGACTCATTCTCCTCCTTCTCGACACAGACCCAGAAGGCTGTGGTTTCTTTCCGCTGTGGCATGGGCATGCAAGCTGCGTGCTCCCGCCAAACATTTGCGAGAGCCCGACGCGACGAACAACATGGCAGATGCTCGCCAGAACGCCACAGGAGAGGACACACGAGGGACACAACTTCTCCGAGGACGCAGCACCTGCCCCAGGATTGGAGAGGAGGCGAGATGCGATACACAAGACACAGAGCGTGCGCTTCCTTTGGCAGGGTTGCCCAGCTAATCAAGAACGACTGTATGAAGCAGAGGCCAGGGGACAAGGACCTAGACTCCCGAAATCGCAATTTTATGCCATGACGTGGGCCTTCGGGACATTTCATCCTGAATGAATGTATGTCTGACGCCCCCGAGGCCTAGTAAGAGCCCTGGGACAGAAAATAATGAAAAACCTGCAGTCGTGATTGTTTCACGGCGCGAGGGTGTCTGGGGAGATGGCGGGGGGAATTCTGCCGCAGCCTCGGGCCTTTCGTCTCACGGGCGTTCCATGCCAGACACGGCCCGTTGCAGTCTTGCCGGCTGATCCACCAGCCGTTGCGGAGCTGGTTGGGGTCCCGTCGGTAGTGGATCACGAGTATCTCCTCCTGGCAGGCGGGATCGGACGAAACGGGGGGTTCGTACAAGGGGAGGTTCGCGAATCATCTCGCGCAGCTGGTTTTCCCAGCGCCTCTGGGCGCCAGAGGCGCCCGTGCATCGAAGAAGGCGCACATCGGCGGGGCCGAAACCAGCTGCATGCAGAAACTGTTGTACCCCTCCTTTTCCCAAGGCCCCCCATTCGTCCGACCCGAACCGAGGGGGAGCAGCAGGAAGCAGGAAGAAGAGGTTCGGTTCGGTTCGGCTCTCCTCGACAGCAAGGTGCACGACCTCGACAGCCATGGGGGGGGCGCAACTAATGAGTGGCACAGCCCAGGACGAAGAGGAAGAGGGAGGAGGAGCAGGATGAGGATGGGGAGCGCAAGGTTGGCAGCAGCAGTGGGAAGAGGAGAAGCGCCACGCAGGAGAGCCAGGAGCAGGAGGAGCTGCAGCAGGAGCGAAAGAGGCATGGCAGCGTGGCGCGCCACAGGGCGCTCAGAGGATTCGGACCCTGGGACAACGGGGGCTGCGAGCGCCAGCCGATGCGGGGCCAGGGCCACATCCGCCCGGTGAGCATCGCAAGAACGGGGGACGCCTGGGAGAAGGTCCAGACCTCGCGCCAGCCGACCGATGCGGGGTACGGGCCGCATCCGCCCGGGGAGCATCGCAAGAATGGGGAACGCCTGGGAGAAGGTCCAGACCTCGGGGGGGGGGGGAGCGGGGGGGGGCGATGTCTCAGGATCCACGCAGGAAGCTGAACATGCACATGGCAACAAAAATCGCACATGGCTGAACCCACGTGCGCAGCCCCCCGATGCCACATGTGCATCCAGCCAGCTGTCGCCCGAGCTGGCCGCGTTCTGTGGCCGATTCCGGAGACCCTGTACCCAAAAATGTTGTCATCGTTTACGAGGTCGACTTTTGCTTGCGCCCGCTTCCGCCGAGCTTCCGCCGGCTTCCGCGGGCGGAGGCGGCCTCGTCATATTTCCGCCGACCGTCCGCCGCCTTCCGCGGCGGAAGAGGCGGCAATTCTTTAGACCCTCGAAGGCAAGCCCCTTTTATGGAACGCCTTATGCGTATCCAGCTTCCTGGTAGAGGTTGGACCGCAAGGGAGAGCACCGTGGGGAGGAACAGGTGAGACCAGGGAGGAACAACGAGGGGGAGCACCTGTAGCATGAGCAGAAGAGCAAGACCAGCATCAGGAGCATAATGGGCACGATGAGAAGGACGAGGAGCAAGAACAGAACAATAGCAGAAGCATAGACGCAGTGAGGTGGAACGATCCCACCCTAGTTTGCACATCACGTCGGCTTCTAGAACTGTCGAGCACAATCGAGACTCGCGCTTGAGTATCTCCACGGGCTCCTGCTCGTCTGGTTCTTGTTCCTGCATCATGTGCGGCATCAGCAGTCTTTTAAGGTCGTTGCCTCCACCTTTGCCTTTTGCCTTTCCCTTGTCGACGACCTTCTTTATGACAACCTTCTCGTAGACCTTCCTGCCGTGAGAAGATATGTCATCTGCACGAACGTAGCGGCCATTCAGCTCTGGCCGGCCCTGCGGGCGTGCGGGCGCGCGAACGAATACACAGTATGACCTGAACTATGGTATGACCGACAAGGCGGTGCCAGATCAACGTTAGCATGATGACTCTCTTGCTGCCATGTACACTGGGCGGTGCGGGCGTTTCAGACTTCTGACGACCAATGCGTGCATCGCAGGAGGAGGAGGAGGAGGAGGAGGAGGAGGAGGAGGAGGAGGAAGAGGAGGAACAGGAGGAGGAGCAGGCGGAGGAGGAGGATGAGCAGGAGCAGGACGAGCAGGAGGAGGAGGAGCAGGAGCAGGAGCAGGAGGAGGAGAATGTATTCTGTGAGCGAGCGCCCGTAAAATGCCAGCTCGCTTGCGTTGACCCGCGTCCACCGACAACCGGGTGTTCGAAGCCAGGGCGGACGCTCTGTCGCCGCGTACCGCCAGGACGACGCTTCGCCATGCCATGCGACGGGTCAGCTCGACGGGCCATGCTACTGGGCAGCTTGGACGTGGATCGACGTCAAACTAACCAGCCTCGAACTTGTCCCTATCCCTAAGATGGGCGAGCAACAAGCGAAGGCAATCTTAGGGATGTGCCCTCAGAAACTGAGGGAATCCTTAAGATAGGCATCGATGTGAGGTGATGCCAAACACAGGGTTAGGGATATGTTTCAAACTGGTAACAACCGCGTTTCCGCATCATTTGTCCTGTGACGCATCGGGATAAGAGGTGCGTATTCGAGCGCAATGGTGGGCTAACCATGCACCAGGACCTGGATTCTCGACCAGGTGTGCAAACTTGATGATGCGCTCTTGGCTGTCACGCAGACCCGTGTGATTGGAGCCCTCATGCTCACACGAGCATCTCGGATTCCATGATTGATGCGGTAACCGAGTGCGACGCATACTCAACACTGTTTAATAGAGAGATGAAGGCTATATAACACATCCTCACGGCTCTCTCGGCGTCGCCCCGTCCTCACATTCTTGCCCCGTGTTGCCACCCCTCTTCTGGCCCAAACGTCCTCCCTTTCACAAGCACCAACTTATTGAGAAGACAAGCGAGCCCGCAGCCTTGCAACCGGTGATGAAGCAAGCGCTTCGCTGGGCCCCCTTCTCGTCCTTCCGGGAAGCATGTTCATCCCACCATGGGAGAAGCAAGAGAAAGGCGACGAAACAAGTACTCACGATCAGCACACGCTGATACAAGGGGCAATCGTAGGATCAAATGTGTGCAATCCGTACGGCTCTCCAGACGGTTGAGCGGAAACCAGTCGTGCGGCAAACTCCGCTGCTCAACTTCCATCTGAATTCGGGGCTAGGTGTCCCGAGCCAGTATGCATGCACAGTCATGGCATCGAGGGTGATGGCGATGGGTGGGGTGAGAGGCGACAGGGCGAACGGGGGACACAAACAAATCATACAGGCCGTCCGCTGGCCGTGGCACACAAAAGCACAGCGCTGATACTCTGGCGTGTGCTTGGCGACGGGTGGCAGGGAAGGCCAAGGGTACACATTGGAAGGAGGGGGCGGAGAGGGAGAAAGAAGCAAGGAAAACAATGGAGGGATAAGGAACAGACAACAACATCATACGAATGTACTGCTGGGGGCGACAATGACCGCTGTATCCACTGCCTCGACCGATAAAACAAGCAAGTACGCGTTGTGTGCGCTCTTAACTGCGCTGCGTTGAAATAACAACCACCTTGTATATCATCTGCACATGCACACGCATGAACACGCACATGGAAATGGTGATGCTGGGCCACGCGCCAAGGTTACGTACGGACCCCTGTGCCGCCGCTACCCGAACGATGGGACCCCGACCAGGTATGGCTCGCAAGATGATGGCGACGACGGGGGCGCGCAGATTGACTGCAGCCACCCTATTGCTGGCACGAGTCCGAATTTAGCGTCGTGGAGCCACCAAGTTGCGACGTGACGGCGCACTATCACCTGTGACAGCGGTCACACTTCAGCAGACGGGGCATGTAACTGGGCGTGAGCACATTTTTTCAACAAAAGGCTAAGGACGTGGCTCAAAAGGAGAGCCGCAGGAAGGAACGAGACGGACGGTCTCACCCCTAGACAGAATGGGACACGTAGGGCAGCGCGGAGGGGGGGGTGAGGACGAACCTTTGCGGTGGAAGCAGGGAGAGCATGCTCATGCACACTGGATCGGGGCGCTCACTCGGGTCCTCTTCGTCGTCCGTGATTACGCCCAAGGCGTCATCGAGGTCCTGACGAGTAGGGGGGGTGAGGAGGCATGGGGACATAGGAGGACGGTGGAAACATGGCGGCAACGAAAGGGCAACAAATGTGGAAACGGGGTCGCAACATGAATATACAAGATAGAACGCCCGCAAACTGGGATACTGGCAAATGAGCGGGACAACGTGTGGAAACCGGCTAGACCGCAAGAGTCGTGAAACGTGCTGCCAAGCATACTAACGCACACCGTTTCGACGCCCTAGTTTAGCTGGGGGGGAAGAAATCAAATATCGGATGGTGCTTGCTATACGATTGATCATGTTCGACAAGGTAGTGTGCACTCGTGCTAACCGGTTGCCTGCCATTGCGCCACACATTTCGTCTACGCCCTGGTCCAACGACGATGTTGCAAACTACGCTGCAAGCGAAACTGGGTTGCGAAGTGGTGTGATCGCTCTCGCTTGAGGCAACACGTCTGTAATACAGTCGATCCGACTTCATCGCGCTGCTAGCAGCCAGCCATATCATGCGACTGCATTCCAACAACTCTCATGTGCTCTCCCCCCAATGGCTCGCTCCCGCGTAGGGGCGGGGGGGGAAACCTCCGCCACGAATCATGCGAATCATGCGACGACAGGTTGTACCATGGCCACCTCTACTTCGGACACACGAGGCGAGAATATCAACTCATGTGTCAGACCCCGCCTCGCACGATTCGCGCTGAAGCTGCCGTCCATGTGCGCACAAGCATCAATACATAAGTATCGAATCGGCTTTCTACCGAGGCTATTGCAGTTTGGATGTAGACAGGCTGGAAGCTGTTTGCTTTGCGCCCCAATCACAATCGAACGGCCCACTCTCCCAGACCACATGTACTCCTTACGCGTGTCTGCCCTCATCGCACCAACATCCACCAGCGGAACAATCATGATTGATGTTCTTACCATGTATTGTTGTACGCTGCTGACGCCGAGCACTGATGCCTTACCAGGCGTGGTAACGACTCTTTTCATGGTTTCCCGGGGCAACATTTCACGTATGTCGCCCCATGTCGAGCGAGCCTAATCTTGCACGTCTAAAGCCGAATTGCACAACACACGTCCCTGCCCAAAATCCGGATTGGAGAACTGTCCACAGTGCAGCGCCAGCAGTACATGAGAAACCATCTTCGAGGTCAACCCTCTGTGGGGCGCACCTCTCTGTTCGCCCGTCCTCCAAATGAGCAACAAGAAGCTGCATACGCATCGGCCGTCGAATCCAGTACAACTATCCTCTCGTATACCTCAAGAGTGTCAAGCATCATTGTTGATTTGGAATGCACCTGATTGGGATACCCCTCGGCTGCTAACGACGCCTTCCGCAACAAAGGAACAGCGTGTGTGATATGGCCGATCTGCCGTCATCTCTTGGAGGTATTTGTTCTACGCCCGCCGCCTTCCGCCAGCCTTCCACCAGCTTCCGCCGGCGGAGGCGGCCTCGTTCTGCGGTGATGGCATTGGATGAGGAAACCTTCGATCAGGAATCCAGGGTCTGGAGGCCAGTGGAAAGCCGATCGTGGATTGGCCGCGCATATCGCCGCCGCCCTCATCAGATAAGGAACCCTCCAGGGTCTGAAGCCTCCTGGGCACGTCCCCTAACCAACACCCCCACCGTACTTCCGCTGACCTCCCGCCGCCTTCCGCCGTGGATGCGGCAACTCCGTCGCTCCTCGAAGGCACAAGGCCGTTCTTGGAACGCCTCGTATATGTCATCCCGGCAGCCCTCATCGCTGCGCGTGCCCAGCTATTTTCTTTATATATATATATACACATACATGTATACATATGTGTATATATATATGTGTGTATGTCCGGTTTCCCGCAGCTCTCCTGGCCTTAGGTCGGGCCTGCTCCCCTACAGGGGGATGTTGGGCGAATAGTTGTTAGTACTCAAACAATACTCAAATATGCTCAAACATATACAAAAAAGTTCCCATGCTATTTTGAACTATTTTTGGATATCCATCCTGTAGAGGGACAGGCCCGACGTAATCCTGGCCGAAGAGGCCAGGGAAAGGCAACGCGCGGCCCGCGCACACCCTCGCGGCTTGGCATCTCCTGGGCGTGGCAGGTTGGGCCCCACAAGGGAGCAGATAGAGGCCTCGTAGATGGTGTTCTAGTAGATGTGACCGGACGATTGCACCGGATCGCCGATGTATCGGCGATGCATCGGCGATGCATCGGCGATGGATCGGCCACTTCTGCGTGGAAAGAAACGGGCTTCACATCGAGGCACATCGCCGATGCATCAACGATGCGGCGCGATCCTCCGACCCCATCTACTCGGACCCCATCTGGGAGGCCTGGAGCAGAGCCCACCCCTCGCGGGAGGCTCGGCGGGTGTGGCCGTCTTGCCCACCACGACGAGGCTAGGACGAGGATAAACCCGGGGGAGGATAAGTCGAGGATCTCTAAGATCCGACGGCTCTGGAGGAGGTCTCGGGCGCTGCGGCCTCCTCAAGGTTCGGAGGTGGACAAACCTCCCTTTAGTAGACCTCCCCTTAGCGAAAAGGGCCTGGGACCGAAACCGACGGACCTGGAGCCGCAATAATGACGGCCGCGACGCCCTCTCGCGAACCGAAAACGGCCAATTCCTTGATCGACGCGTCAAGGTAGGAGGTCTGTCCACCCCCGAGAGGCGTTCCGGAACGCTGTCAGAGCGTTCCGGAGCGCTCTGGAACGGATTCGTCCTTGTCCCAGCCCCGGTCCGACCCCTCCCGCCCTCTGCCACCCACCTCCCCGTCGGGGGGGGGGAGGGGGGGGAGGGGGGCGAGGAAGAGGAGGAGGAGGAGGAGGAGGAGGAGGAGGAGGAGGAGGAGAGGGAGGAGGGCGAAGGGAGGGGGGACACAGGGAGCCAGACGGGGAGGGGGCATGGGGAGGGGAGGCGAGGAGGATAACGAGGAGGACAGAAGGTGAGGAGGAAGACGACGACGACAAGGAGAAAGAGGAAGGCGAGGTGGATGAGGGAGGGAGGAAAAGGGGAACCTGGGAGAAGGCGGTGCGGTTGCCAGTGTACGATTCCCTTGGGTGTACACGAAAATGTGCTCGTAGCCTTTGAACTCTCCGAGAGGAGAGCTGGAGGGGACCCTCCTCGCAGGCCCCCATGCCTAAGACGAACAGAGTATGAGGATCAAATTGAGTGAAAATGATGAAGGAATGTCGAACTTCTGAGAACCACCCCTGCGAACCACCCCCGCGTCCCACCCCGCGACCCACCCACACTGCTTCGACGAAAATTCAGCGCCCGCGGCGGGCTCGCTGTACAGTGTGCTACAACATCGGCGCCTGTGGCGGGCTTCCGTGTGGCGGGCTTCCTCAGAGCCTCGCAGACTGCCGACGACCCCGCCGCCCCCTCACTCTTTACCTGCAGCTGCGGGGTGCAGCCTACACCTTGGGAGCCCGACCGAGAATACGGCAAGGGGGTCGCCCAGTACATCCCCGAGTTCTCCCCTGTCTCTCCTGTTCCTGTGAGCATCGTTGAACCGATCCCCTTCCCCTGCGGCGTGGCCTGGGCCCCGCTGGCCGCTTTGCCCCCCTAGATGGGGATGTAGGTCGTGCCCTCTCGTGCTGCCCTTCGGGTTTCGAGGGGTCTATCCCCAACTGGGGTGGTAATTTGGTGGGGGTCTCGAAGGGGATGGGGATGGGGATGGGGATCGCATAAACGATACCGATCCTGATCGGTCAACTTTCGGGGGGGAGGGGGGTGCGGGGATTGGGGGCGAGGAGTCGCCTGCGATGCCCGAGTGCCGTCTTGTCCCTCCCGAGGGGGACCGACAGGGAGGGGGCGGCTCAGGGGAGGTCCACCTGGAATCGGCGATGCATCGCCGATAGGTCGGCGATCGGCCCCCGATGGAAAAAATCTCACGTTCCTCGGCTGGGTGGGCAAACTGGCCCCCGTCGGCAATGAACGGGCGAGTCGATGCATCCCCCTTTGAACTCAACTATCGCACCCCAGCGCTGCCCCTGACCCTCTTCGACGCCTGGTGGCTTTCGTGTCCCAGCTCGGGCATCTGGCGGCCGCTCGGGGCGATCCGGGCCCGGGGGGCCCCACGGAGCGCCCTCGGAGAGACGCAGCCGCCGGAAGGCATCCCGAGGCAGGAACGCCTACAGGAAACAACGTCAGCGCAGGACAACCTCGAAAACCTCCTCACGTTGCTCTTCGAAAGTTTCAAAAACATACGGAAAAAGACGAACACCTCGAAAACCTCGAAGCCTCCTCCCTCCACGCCCATGGCCCATCGCGGCCTCGCCGGCGAGCTGCTTCTCCTCCTCGTCGTAGTCGTAGGGCAACTGCTGGAGCGCCCGCGACCCGCGCGGCATGCCTGCCCACGGGCGCCCGCCGCTGCCCCAGAGGGCGCGGAGCGCAAGGGGGGGCAAGGAGGGCGACCAGGACGAGTAGAACGCGGACGATGACGAGGACGGTGGGGAGGACGAGGACGTGGGCGGGGGAAGGGAGGACGGCGCCGAAGAGTTCCGGGAACAGGAGCAGGACCAGCGAGCTCGTAATAGCAGGGGCAATCTGTAGATGAGGCTGAGCAGAAGAAGGTGGAGGAGGAGGAGGAGGGGGAGGAGGAGGACCAGCAGCAGCAAGAGACACAACAGGAAGCGAAAGAGTCGGAGGAAGGCGACCGGGGGGCTACTCAGATGCTCGTTCGGGGGACCTTCAGTGAGCCACTCACTCCGCTCATGCGTCGGTGCTGCGTCGAACGTCCGTTCCTTTGGGCCAAGCCAGAATCGAATATAATCGAAGTGGATTCGAACATTCGAGCAGATCCGCTATGTGGGCGCCAGGAAGGCCCCCCAACCGACTAGGGGGGGAAGCCCTGACATTACAAGAAGGCAAAAGGTATCGGCGCCAGGACTCTCGAGTGCGCATTCCCGTCAGGCGTTTAGGAAATCCAGAGAAGTCTGCAAGTCCGGAAACTTCTCTTGCGGATCTCAGATCTGAAGGCTCGGGAGAGGGAAGGTGCGGAGATTGGGGACGGATCGGCCAGGACGGCCAGGGGAGAGAAGGGGAGGCGTTAGGAGGCAACGAGATGTCTTCGAGGGAACGATCGAGGACTGGCAGGCCCAGCCCGGAGGGGCATCATGCAACATCCAATCGGCATGAGAACAAGACTGAAAAGTGTTCAGCCCGATGAAGCCACATTGGGCCGGATGAGCTCAGCGCGCTCGCGCCACATCCGACATCCTCCCTCTCCCCCCCAGCCCTTGCTCCTCTCCTCGATCGTGCCGCTCCTGCTCCTTCCTCTCCTCTGCTGTCCTGCCTCCTCCCAAGTCTTCTCGCTCCCCCTGGCTTCCTTCGCCCCCTTCTTCTGGGCGCGTCCCGCTCTTCTGCTCTCCCTCTCGCCTCCTGCTCCTTCTTCTGGGCGCGGCCCGCCTCCTCCGCCCTCCTGCCATTCCTCTCCTCTGCTGCCTCTCGCTCCCCTGGGTGCCGCTGCGGACGTGCCGCCCCCTTCCTCGGGGTCCGGCGGAGGGGCCGCCCCGCTCAGGTCAGAGTGCGCCTCGCCCTTCCGGCATGCGCCGAGCTGCGCAGCTCTCGGGGCCCCCCGGCGCCCCTGGGGGGCTCGGCGAAGTGCCGCCCGACCGGAATCCGGCCAGGGGGGGCAGCGGCGAGGGCTGCAGAAAAGGGGCCCTCTAGGACCCCAGAAGGGGACCTCGGGGGCCCGAAAAGGCACCTCTCTCTCTCTCTCTCTCTCTCCCCCCCTGCCATTACTCTAGGGGAACGAACAATGACAGAAACATGACAACTCGGAGGTCCGCGCGGACCTCCGAGCTCTTGTGTTTGTGTCATTGTTTGTTCTCCTAGAGTAACCACCTTTCTCCCCGCCCCGCCCATTGATCGCCCCCCCGCCCCCCACTGAGTCGCCCCCACGTGGCGCCCTTCCCATAGGGAAGGCACCTTTCTCCCCCGCCGCCAATTGAACGCCCCCCCCCCCCCCTCCACTGAGTCGCCCCCACGTGGCGCCCTTTGAGGGCCCAGCGAAGCGCCGCCCGACAGGATTCGGGCCAATCGGGCCAAGTGTCTTGGGCGCGAATGACCCAGACATCCGACGTCTCGATGTTTTCGAGACGCGGGCCCCCGACCTCCCGACCACCACTTCAGAGGAACCGGTTTTTCATCCCGAGTCGTTTTTTGACGGTCCCGAGGCCCAGCGAGGGCCCCGAGTGGGCAAGCACTGCGAAAAACCTGCGTCTCGATTTTTTCGAGACGCCCGATGTCTGGGGAGGGGGGGGGGGCGAGTTTTATGTTTATGTCATTTTTCGTTCCCCTATGGTCGCCCCCCCGACTATCTCGCCCCCGAGTGTCGCCCTTCCCCATCCCCATCCCCAGCGGCGTGGCCTGGGCCCCGCTGGCCGATTCACCCTAGATGGGGATATAGGTCGTTCCCTTCGGGTTTCGAGGGGTGTATCCCCAACTGGGGTGGTAATTTGGTGGGGGTCTCGAAGGGGATGGGGATGGGGATCGGATAAACGATACCGAGTTCGTTCTCCTACGATCGCCCCCCCCCCACGAATTCGCCCCCCAACTTCGCCCTTGCGGGGTGCTGCCGGGCGCGCGGCTGTCGCCGCTTCCCCTGCGCCCCGTGCATGGCTGGTCCCACGAGGTGTGGCTTCACGCGGGCCGCGCCAGGCCCCTCGCCCAGACAGGATCGCGACGTAAAACAAAAAATCTGGACGAGAGGTGTTTCGCCGTTGTCGGCCTCGGGGGGCCGTCGCCGGGCCCTGGGACGGTCAAGGAACGGCTCAGGACGAAAAACCGGTCCCTGGGAAAGGGTCGGGACTTCCGGGGACGCCGTATTGAAAAGATCAGAAGGAGCCGAAGTGAACCTCGCCCTCCTCTGATGCCAGATGCACGGCTGCCGCCGCAGGTGCCAATCCACACCTGGCCAACTGAAGCTGGCTGGGTCGACGCGGGAGTATGTGTTGTGCATGTTGGCGTTAAACTGTGGGCGCAGTGATCTGAAGAGGTACTGGGCGGCATCTTCATCTCTGTGCTCCGTGGATTGGAACTCCTCCTTTCAAAGTTTCCGTTATTCCTTCAAGGAGCTCGCAACAAGACAAAAAGCAGCGTGCCTTCCTTTCGCGATAGGGGTTGTGCCGCACCGCTTCTCCCGATGGAGCCCATGCAAACAAGCCGACAGCACAGCGTCCTATCACGGTACGGCGACTTCACGGCGACTGGTGCGTTCGCGATTCGTTCGCCACTGCCGCCGGGCACCGTGTCCAGACTAACCTCTTGTGCAAGTGCTGCCAGCATTAGACATCAGCATTACCAGAACATGTACGAGTCACACCGCCCCAACTGATCTCTCTATATTTGCATGCATATATATATATACACATAACATGAAACATATGCGTTAACAGCCGTTGTGGCCGTGGAGCGCAAATAACGTACAGTTACGAACTCAACAACGGATAGGGGGCCCTAAGAACACGCATTCGGCAAGGTAGCTGGCCGTTCTAGCTAACATGATACGTGTCTTCTTATGCTTTCTGCCCTCCCACCGCGAGACCCTCCAGATCATTGCACAGAGACGTACCCGACCCATCTGCAGCACGTGGCAACATCAACAAGCACATCCGATACAGGTGGCGTATTTTGGCCACGTCGCTCACGCAGGAGCGTTTCTAGATGGCCACATGAAAAAGTGCAAGGTGTGCATGCCACCGCCTGTACGTTCAAAACACACTGTAGACAGGCCAGACCTTCTGACGGTTGTGGCTAAGCAATACGGCTGACGATAAACAACAACTGTGCAAGCTATGCGTAGTAAGACAGTTGATGTGAACCGATGGTGTGTAAGCTACCTGGTGTGAGCTATGCGGTGCAAGCTATGATGAGCAAGCTGTGTGGCGAAGGCGATGTGGTCCAAGTTACGCAGTGTAACACGTGTGTGGTGTAAGCTATGTTGTGCAAGCTATCGTGTTAGCTATGTGGTAAAGGATCTGTCACGTGAGCTCAACGGCGAAAGTTATGTGTGAGCTGTGTTGTGTGAGCCTGCGCTGTGGGCGCAAGGGTCGCCCGCGAGGCGCCCAAAAGCGGGCACGGGCGCCAACACGGCGAAACCTCGGGACACCAATCCAGCAGGGGCGCCGACGAGGCACGCGTGAGCCGCCAAGGGCGCCAACGCAGCGAGCCATGGGGAGATCCGCCCAGGAGGAGTGCCCACCGAGCGCCCACGAGCGGGCACGCGCGCCAACACTGCAAAACCTCGGGGCACGCACGCGTCGGGGCGCCCGCAAAGCACCCACGAGCCAGCACGGGGCGCCAACGCGGGCACACACAGGGGACACCCATCCACAATCCACTGACTTCAGGATCCGACGTGCGTAAGAGCCCCTCTGTGCAGGCACTGCTTGGCTGGGGAAAGATTCGAGGAGAAGAGGAAGTGAGAAGGCGGGCGGCAGCGAGAAGGGGAGAGACATCGGGAGGAGGAATAGGGGCGCAGCAGCGCTCTGGTCAGAGCGAGGATCCAAACAAAGGAGGGGTGGAAACAAGAAAACAGTTCATGTCCTCAGCATCGGAAGAATTGGCAAACGTGCGCAGACATTATTGGTAAATGCTCGCGGGTAAACCTGTGCTTTTGACAAGCGTAACTCAGCGCGCATGGCGAGCGATGCCTTGATGTGATGTGTGACCTGCAGTGCGTGCATCGTCCTGCGATGCTGACCTTTCCACAGCTCCTGCCCCTCCCCCTCCACGCCACATCCTTCCTCCCCACCCCTTCCCCTCCCTTCTTCCTGTTCCCTTGTGGCCCCGCCCCTTCCCCTTCCCCTTCACCCCGCCGTCCTCCTTACCCCCCTCCCCATCACCTCCTCCTCCTCCTCCTCCTCCTCCTCCTCCTCATGCTCATCTTCCTCTTCCTCCTCCTCCTGCTCCTCCTCCTCCTCCTCCTTCTCCCCTCCACGTCCTCCTCCTCCTCCTGCTCCTCCTTGCCCTGCTCCTCCTGTTCCTCCTCCTCCTCCTTCCTCCTCCTCTTCGTCTTCATGTGTTTCGTCTTCTTCTTTTTCTTCCTCCTCCTCCTCCTGCTCCTCCTCCTCCTCCTCCTCGTGCTCCTCCTCCTCCTCCTCCTCCTCCTCCTCCTCCTCCTCCTCGTGCTCCTCCTCCTCCTCCGCCACGTCCTCCTCCTGCTCCTCCTCCTCCTCCTCCTCCTCCTCCGCCACCTCCTCCTCCTCCTACGCCACCTCCTCCTCCTCCTCCTCCTCCGCCTCCGCCTCCTCCTCCCCTCCCCCCCCCCTTCCTCGTCGTATCCTCCTCCTCCTCCTCCTCCTCCTCCTCTCCTCGTCTCCTCCTTCTTGTCCTCCTCCTCCTCCCCCTCCTCCTGCTCACTCTTCTCCTCCTCCTCCTCCTCCTTTTCCTCCTCCTACTCCTCCTCCATCTCCTGCTCCTCCTCCACTCTCCTCCTCCTCCTCCTCCCTCCTCCTCCTCCTCCTCCTCCTCCCCTCCTCCTCCCCCTCCTCCTCCCCGCCCTCTCCTCCTCCTTCTCCTCCTACTCCTACACCTCTCCTCCTCCTCCTCCTCCTCCTCCTCCTCCTCCTCCTCCTCCTCCTCCCCCTCTCTTTCCTCCTCCTTCTCCTCCTCCCTCCCCCTCCTCCTCCTCCTCCTCCTCCTCCTCCTCCTCCTCCTCCTCCTCCTCCCCCCGCCCCCTCGCCCCTCCGAGGTTGAGCCACATCCGCACCAGCTGCACGGGCGCGCTGCGCTGCACCAGCACGCCGAGCCCCTGGCCACCCACGGACAGAAGCACGCGCCCGCGGAGCAGCAGCAGTCCAGCCGCCCGCTTGGTGCACCCCTTTCCTGTCTTCCCCGTTCCCCACCTCCACTCTTCCCCTCCTCCCTCATCCCTCTTCCTTCCTCCCCCCTCCTTCCCTCCTCCTCCATCCTCCGCCCTTTTCCCTTCCTCCTTCCGTCCCTACTTCCCCTCCTCATCCCCTCCTTTCTTCCCCTCCTCCCTTCTTCACCTCTTTTCCATGCCTCCCCGGGGGAGGCTCCCCCTCTCTCTCTATGGCGTCTCTTCGTTTGAATTCCAGGTCGGCTATGACACGAATCCGCAGATGGAGAACAGCCAGAACAGCCACCCAAATGGGAAGGGATGGGGGGGAGAGACAAGATGTCGAATGTGGCGCGAGCGCGCCCAGCTCGCCATTATCCTCCTCGCTGTTTCTCCTCATTATTCTCGACACCCCTCTCCTTTCATCTTCTCCCTGGGAACCTCCGTGAACATCGGCGGGGCTACCTCGCGGTTGCCAGCCCGCCGGAACGAGCCGAGTTCCCATGGGAGCGCATCGCAGCACGGCCCACTGGCGAACGAGTCGCGGCGGCATTCTGTCGGAGCGGGCTTGTGGCGCCCAAGCGCCAGAACAGTATAAAGAACAACTGCTTTATCAGGGCAGGACTTGGACAAACCATGAGTTTTGCAAGTTACGCAAACGACCCGCCAAAGTCCTGGCTTATCTAAGTCAAACCAAGACTTTGACACATTGTTTTCCCAACTTGCGCAAGTACTGGTGTATCGAAGTCCGGGGGGTCTTTAGGGCCCTGACTTCATCATAAACAGAAGTTGTCGGGAATCCGCGTAAATTTCTTGGGTCGGCAATGGATCCCCCCTCCCGCCCTAGCGCGGATAGCCAGCCCCGAGCCGATCCTTATCCCTGAGATTGACGAGCCCAAAAGAAATGGCAATCGTAGGGTGCGCCCTTGGAAACCGAGGGCATCCTTAGGACCGGCATAAGCATAAGCCGATGTCCAATGATACGGGTAGGGCTTCAGGTATGTTTGAGGATGGTGAGCGGGGCGGCTCCAGAGGCGGCGCCAGGGCGCCGCCATGGGGGTCCGCGCAAATCTCCGAAAGTTTATGTTCTGTTCGCTGTAGCTTTCTCTGCCTTGCGTTCGTGCGCCATCGTGTTCTCTTCGCTGCTCCTCTTCCTCCTCCTCCTCCTCCTCCTCCTGACGGCGCCGCTCGGTCACGGCGCAGCGCCCGGCCGGGCCGCGCCGGGCGCGGGCACCTACTCGCAGGCGGGTCCCGCAGCGCCTGGCCTGCGTACCCTCCCCGCGGCCGGGGGCTTTCCGGCTGACGCCCGACGCTGATCGACGCGGGGGGCGCCCGGCCTTGAGCCCCAGCGCCCCCCCCAGCAGCCCCGCAGTGCGCTGGGTGTTGCTTGAGAGCACGTGTTTGACTTGTGTTTTTGTTCTACCCCGGGCGGCCCCCCCCCCCAAATCGAGGCTGGTGAAATATCGCGCGGAGGTGGCCCCCGGCAGCCCCGCTGGGGACGGGATGCTGCGCGGTGGGCGAGACATCGGGGAAGGGCCAGCTGAGGCAACGGTAGTTGGCCATTGGGGGCCCTTCGTCGCGGCGGCTGGACGCAGCTCGGAGAACCAGTACGCTAGCATCCGAACGATAGGTGAGGGCATCCAAGATGGCTTCATGAGGGCGTCAGGCAGCCCAAGATAGCCTCCAGGGTGGATCAAGACAGCCCAAGATGGTTCAAGATAACTTCCAACATGCCGACAAGAGGTCACAGGGCAGACAAAATGCAGCTCCACGCCACGTGGCCACCGAGCCTTCCAATAATGTTCCCGAGAAGCGAAGCTCCTTCCAATCACCCCTTCTTTCCTGGTTGAAGAGTTCGTACCGCGGAATGCCAGGATGACATGGTGAAGATTTTCTGCCCTGGGACAGATCGCATGTGGCATCTGGACTCACATGCATATCAAGGCCAATCAACATAAGCTAGCCGCTGACCTCCGTGAAATGATCACACGACTTCCCCGTACCGTGCTGCATACAATGGCTCCGCGACCGCCTCTTGGTCACCTCACCCTGTCTTCTTGCACGCGCAGACACAGAACACACGTGCGCGGACATACATTCATCGACGCCTGTGCGCCCGAGCGCCAGCCAGACAGCCTAGAGATACATCAAGTGCGCGAGCGTTGTGGCCTTAAAGACTGCTTACCATAGGCGCTTTAAAACCTTAGCTAAGTTATTGATTTGTGCATTTGGGAGTTGTGTCGATTGGTTGAAAGAAACGTTGTGACGTTGTGGGATCTGTTGTAGGATCTGTCGAGGGTTGTCGGACATGGCGTAGGAGCTGTTGAGGAAAACGCTGATCTCCCCAAATGGGGTTGTAGAAAATGGTGGCCGTGAACAACTGAACTGGGGAATGTGTTGATGTTCAAAAATGGTATCACCATTACATTGGTATTGCATCCCGGTCCAGCCCCATCAGCGGTTTATGCCATATGGCGTCCAAGTGGTTCCGTGCGCGCCATTCTTTTAATTCAATTGTTTGTCCCTCGCGCTATCGCTGGGGCCCAGCAGGCGGCGCGCCGCGCGCGCGGCCGCCTGGCCGATTCGCAGCCCTGCGCGCGTCGGGCGCGCGCCCAGCGCGCCTTGCAGCCGTCGGGTCGCCGCCGATCTGGGAGTGCGCTGACCTCGCGCTGTTCGAGCAGCGCCCCCGCGGGATCTTGCAACTGGAACGCCCCTGGGACCCACGGGGGGACGCAGGAGGACCCAGGCGTCCAGCCGAGCGCAGAGGGCGCGCGATTGCCATTGCTCTGGGACGCCCAACGAAGGCCATGAGCTGGATTCGCGGGACAAGCGCGAACCCAAGCGGGACGCGGACACCCTTGCGCCAAAGGCTGGCCCAATCGCCAACGGATTCGAAGTCGCCGATGCCCCGGCGAGGATCACCCTTGTCCCTTGTGGGGCTCGCGCCGGGCGTCGGAGGGCGTCGCCGTCGCGGCCGTCGCCCGAGTGCCGCGGTCGCGCCCGCGAGTTAGATCGGTTGCGCCGCGCCGAGAAAAGTCGCGACGAGGAGGGCGACCTCGTCGCAAGGACCTGCGGGCCTGGCAAATCCGCCGCTGCGGCCCGATCGCCTTCGCGGCGTCCCATGAGTCACGTCATGGCCTGGTAGCGCCGACATAGCAACTGCTGCGGCAATTCCTTTAAGTCAGCGGCCGCAGGCGAGCGTGCCAGCGGCGAGTCCAGTCAGAGCGGGGCGCGCAATGACGAACTGCTGCGGCAATTCGCGAAGGCGCATGTTCATCCGAGGCGGTTTGGGGCGGACCCGCCCCTTGCGACGCAAGGTCTGCGCGCCGGGCCGGTGGCGCCCGCGCGCGGCCTGCGGCCAGCGCCGACAAGCCCTTCGATGCTGGGCAGATCCCGACCGCTCGGCGCTGAGTAGGGTCTAGGGTCTAGCGCGCAAATGTGGACGCCCGAAATGGGTACGGAAAGAATGGGTACAATGCCCAACAACAAATGTTGTCCCAAACCAGCAGCGGCCGCTGTTGGGCGGGCGGCCTTTTGTCTCGAATGGACACAGGCCGCGGCGGCGCGGACAGCGGATCCTGTTCAAAATGAACAGGAATTGCTGTTGGGCATTGTACCCATTCTTTCCGTACCCATTTCGGGCGTCCAGAGCCAAACGGATGCCAGGTCGCGCGCGCGCGCGCCCGGCGGATGTGTTGACGCGCTTCCCGCTCACATGGATAGGCCGCAAAAGTACGCATGCGCTTCCCAGCGACAAGCCAGATACCTGGCGGAAATATCGATACGTTTTCCAAGTTCGAAATGGATACCACAACATCGAAATTGATACGACCCGCAACTCGACAACCTCGAAAGTGATGCGATCGCCAACCCTCAAAGTCGAAATTTATACGATCACCAACCCCGAAATTGATACCCCGCGACAGTACCTATATGTTTCCCAACCGCAGAAATGATACCCAGCGGAAATATTGATACGTTTCCCAACCCCAGAATTGATGCCCAGCGATATAATTGATACGTTTCCCAACCCCGGAGCAGCAAAACATCGGATGTTCTGGAAGCCCCTCCCCCTGGCGGCTCCGGCACCCTGGCGTCGGAATTTTGCAAAATCCCCCCCCTCCGCGCCAGGATTTTTGCAAAGTCCCCCCGCCGCCCTCGGGAGTTTTGCAAAGTCCCCCACCGCTCCCCTTCCGCGTCGGGATTGCGCTAATTGCAGCGCGCTCCGCGAAGTTCCCCCCCGAGTGCCCGCGCCCTCCACGTCGGAATTTTGAGGAATCCCCCCCCGCCCTCGGGATTTTTGCAGAAATCTCCCTCGACCCCCCATCCAGGTCTGGATTGTGCAAACTACCACGCCCTCCACATCGAGATGTTTGCAAAGTCCCCTCCCCCAGCAACCCCCTTTTTGGGATTTTCGCAAAGTCCGCCGTTCCCGGCCCTTCCTCCCTTGCATATCTGGATGTTTTCAAGAAGAACACCGGCCCCGCTGGCCCGCCCAACCCCCATCCATAATGGCGGAGTGAGGATGGAGGAGGGCCTCGGGGAGGAGGGAGGAGAGGGAGTAAGGAGTAAGGAGGATGAGGGACCCACCCGCCTACCCATGATTGACTCATTGACGTCCGCCGTGTTTGCCCGTTGCTAGTAGGCTTGGTCGCCACCATCTCTTCGTCATCCCCATAGGGTGCTCAGCTTACTGAGGTCCAGGCGTCTGCAAGATAGCGTCCTCAATGGTTTCGTCGTTTTGTGCCTCCTCCTTCCCCCCATCCTGGCATACTGCAGATCCCGTCTTCCTGCTCCCTTTCCTCGCTCCTGTTCGGCCCTGCCATTTCCCCTCCATCTACCCCGTAATCCACGATACACAATGAGGGAGTATTGAGATGCAGCCGTTGCCGTCGCAATTTGAGCCGTCACTGTACCAGACCCCAGCAGCTCCATCAACGCATTTGCACAGCCACACAACACACGTATCCGAACGATGAACACGTCGCGCAATGTGGAATTTGATACCCAACACTTTCGGCACAGTGGATTTTGATACCCGAGCCGAAACCTCAGACAGCGGCACTGAAGCAGCCAACATTTTTCTCAGGTGGCCGAGACAAGTGCCCAACCTCGAAAACTATACCTCGAAACAAGTGCGCAACCCCTGAACCGACAGGCATCACGATAAAATAACTCGTCAGGGCCAGGGAACAGAAGGAAGTCCTTCAGTCCACAGCGCGAGCGCCCTGGGGAGGGGCCAGTGTGGCGCGCCCGAAGCAAGTGGCCGCCAGCAAAGCAGCGCGGCCGCGAAGTCGGCGCGAAGGCACGCTCCCGGGGCTGGTTCGAGCAAACTCCGGCACTCTCGATGCTCCAGCCCCCAACCAATGCCGAGAGCGAGGAGAGAAACTCACTCTCAGCTTAAAGTTGAAAGGCTTACCCCAAAGCAGGAGGGGAAAAGGGAACGACGACACGGCTGAGGGGGGTCTCTGCATTCCTCGCATTCTCCTCCTCCTCGGACAGTTTCCGCCTCAGCAGCCATGCAGCCGCCGACACCACCCGCCAGCCCCACCCCCGGGATCTCCCGAAGGAAAGCTTCCATCCCGACCGAGGCATTGGGCAGAATGGAGATGAGCTTCAGCGTCATGCAGATCTCCCGGCCGCCGCTCTCCCAATGTTGAGGGGGGGGAGCGGAGGAGCTGACTGGACCAGGAGAATCAGGGCGAACGGGGGACTGAGCTTGGAGGGAGGGGGGGCGCGAGCGAGAAATAATGGAATGGGCAAATGCCGTTTTCACTTTGGGAGGAGGGGCAAGGAGGAGAGGGAACAAGGGAGAAGGGGCTGGGCGGGACGGTGCGAAATTACGAAAAGAGTGGGAGGGAGGGGAGCCCAAAGGGGGGTGGAGAGAAAAGGAGATGCAAGATAGAAAAGGAAGGGCGGATGGATGAATAGGAGCGGCATTGGGAAGCGAGCGGGACGAGAACAGCGGCAAGAGGAAGGGAATATGCCCATGGAAAGATGATCAAGAAAGAGGGAGAGGGACAGAGAGAGGGATATACATACATGTTAGCCAGCCCGGGCCCCAAGCAGTGAGCTTCTAGCGTTGTGCAATATCTGTGCAGCCTATGTGGTGCCACAGATGTAGTGGAGTGTATGTGACCCGACGTAAAATATGCGATACAAGTGAAGCAATGGATGTGGTGAGATATGTGTGTGATGCAATGTCTACATGTATCGATCTAGACTTGTTGCAAAGTATGGAGCGCCACCTATGTAATGCGAAAAGCGTCGTGCAATACATGGCGTGCACGCTAGCATATATGTTGTGCAGTATACGTGGCACGCTCTATGCTGTACAACCGGCGATGCGCAGTAAATGTTGTGCAATACATGTGGTGCAACCTACGTTGTACAGTTTCCGATGCCACACATATATATGTTGCAAACCTATATGTGTATATAAAGATGTTGTGCAAAATATGTGGCGTAAGCCCTGCAATGCAATGTGTTCTAATGAGCATCGACGCCAATCACCGCGAACCAATGTCAAACAATGAAAATCAACGGAAAGGAACACACAATGCAAAGCATTGCACATGTATGTGACGCAGCGCGAAGCACCGCAAAGAAAAAACATGCAAGTCAGCGCAATGAAATGCCAGGCAGCGGAAAGCAATACTAATCGATGCAAAGCGGTGCGACGCAATGCAAAGCAAGCAAGGCAAAGCAATGTGGCGACGACGCGGCAACGACGGCAACCACAAGGCGGCGGACCCGAAATGCAGGCCCAGACTACGGGCGGCGTCGAGGTGGCGACGGGGCGGCGACGGCGACGACATAGCCGCCAGACCGCCACAGGCCCAGACGACGGGTGGCGATGAGGCTGCGACGGAGCGTCGACGGCGACGACATAGCCACTGGAGCGCCAAACAAGCCCAGTTCCGTAGACTAGAAATAAGAACCCGTAAATGCAAGCACTATGACGAGAATGTCAGGCAAAGGGAATAACATGGCGGTGGCACGTGGTCGTGTGAGCCACACATCACGTCTTCCTCTTTTCATCTTTCTCGACTCGGGAATAACCGCAATTGCCCCTGGATCAAAGCGACAACGATTTCCAGGGAGGCCCTCCCAGCCTCCAGACCCTCCCTCTCGAGGCCCAGAGGGCTGCAGGGGCTCCAAAATAGACCGAAAAGCAACGGATACCTTGGGCAAGGGCCACTTCTGGCATCTGCAGCATCAATCAGCATCGAATCAACAAATCGGATCGCATCAGAATCTGCATCGAACCAGGCCGCATCGGCACGGAGCCGGAAACGGATCGCATCGGCTGCGCTGGGATGCACTGCAACGCTATGCAAGCATCGGGCCGCATCGCCGAAACTGACATCAATGCAAGCCTGACATACGCACACTGATCTATGCTGGACCGCGCCCGAAAAATAGTGTGCGTATTTCATTATACTGTGCGCTGTAGCGATGGCGAATACAATTTCGTGGACATCATGCTCCTGTCTCGCACTCGAGCGGGATCGACCAGACATGAGCTGGACCATGCGCTGTGCTGGGGCCTTCCTTGCAGCACATTGCCAGCGCCGCGCTGCGCCCTCTGCCACGCCCTGGCCACGTCCAGCCCCCGTCCCCCCGCCCTCCCCCAGGGTTCGCTTCTGAGTTCGTTGCCGGCGTCTGAGCCAGAGTCCATTCGGCGGCTCACCATCGAGCCCATGCGGCGGCCGAGCGGGCTCAATTCCCTGCATCATGTCGGAGCTGAGCCCATTCGGCTAGTCAATCAGCGGCCGAACGAGCTCAGACGCCGAACGGGTGAGGCCTGGTGCCCCCCCCCCCCCCCCCCCCCCCCTTCGGTGAGGCCTGGTGCACCCCGGGGCGCTGCACGCACTGCGCCAGCATCCGCTCCAGGAGCTCCTCGGGGTGGTCTACGGTCTAGGGCCCCTAGCAGGAACCCGCCACGTGCACAGGTCCACCTTCTTCCCAGATCTCCGCCGATGTGACTTCTCCTCGAATAGCGTTTAGCTACCAAGGCTTCTAATGAAACTTTGAAAGGACCGCAGAAGAGTCCCACAAGGGTCTGGCAGCGGTTTCACCTGACACTTCCTCAAACTTTATTCAGAAACGATGCTCCCAGATCAGGAATCAATGCTGGTTACATTAGTTACCTGGTCGTCCACAGTCCCCTAAAGACAAAATATTCCGACGGTCGGACCCCACACGAGAATATGTTGAGCCTGCCTGCGGATATCCTCCTGCCCCCTCGCTGCTCCCACCTACTCCTGCCTCATCCTTTTCCTCCTGCCTCGTCCTCCTCCTGCCTCAACTCCTGCCTCCTCCTCGTTCCTCCTCCACCACCACCTCCTTCTCCTCCTCCTCCTCCTTTTCCTCTTCCTCGTTATGCCCCTCCCTCCCTCCCAATCCCCATGCTCCTCCTGCCTCCTGCGTCCTCCTCCTCCTCCTCCTCCTGCTTTTCCTCTCCCTCCTCCTCCTCCCTCCTCCTCCTCCCCCTCCTTCTCCTTCTCCTCCTTCTCCTCCTCGTCCTCCTCCTCCTCCTCCTCCGTCTCCTTCTCCTCCTCCTCCTCCTCCTCCTCCGCCTCCCCTCTCCATCTTCCTCTTCTCCTTCTCCCTCCTCCGCCTCCTCCTCCTCGTCTCCTTCTCCCCCCGCCCCTCCTCCTCCGCCTCCCCCTCCTCCTGCCTCCTCCTTAGGCTTCCTGCTCCTCCTGGGGACTCTTGGGGCCTCTTGCGGCCTCTTGGGGCCTCCTGGAGCCTTCTGGGTCTCCAGGGACATCCTGGGGCCTCCTGGGGCTTCCTCTTCCTCCGTGTCCTCCTCGTCCTTCTCGCCCTCTGCTTCCCCCTCCTCCTGATCCTCCTCCCCCTCCTCCTCATGCTTCTCTTTCTCGTCCTGCATCCTCCCTCCTCCTCCTCCTCCTCCTCGTGCGGAACACGACCCAGAAGAAACGCACGACGTGCGTGCCGGCGGATGCGCGCCAGAGGACGTCGGCCTTGACCAGAGCCTCCTCCTCCTCCTCCTCCTTCTCCTCCTCCTCCTCCCGTTCATCTGGTCAAGGGCACGACTGCAGAGTCGCGAGCTACCTGCACGGCTGAATGCGGCCGAAAAGCGCGCCCCCCGACGGCCATAGCAATGCCCGCCTCCTGCTCCTGCTTGGCCCTCCTCCCATCCATTCCTCATTGTTCTAGCACTTCTGCCCCTCTCTCTCCACGTCCCCTACTCCAACCTCCTCCTCGTCCGTCTCATCGACTTTACTAATCACCACTCCCTCCCCCTCCCGCTTGCCTGTTACCTCCTGGCAACGACAACGTACATAAGATCTTCATCTCTCGATGAAATTGGAGCACCCATCTCCTTAGGGACTTCGTACCCGCGCTCCAATATGGTCAGCGATGTCCTAATGCAGGATGTCCGGTACCCTGGAGGGCAGAGTGCGGAAAACTGCGTGTGAACTGCATGGCTCTGACTTTTAATAGCCGCATTTTGCAAACTACAAGCAGTGGCATTGCACATGCAGCATGGTGTACGCACCGCATGTGCT